TGTGTATGATAAAAAGATCTATCTATCTATCTATATACCTATGTAGTATATAATTCATTCATTTATTTATTGGAAGAAGTGTGCAAGTTGATGACGGGCTTAAGATTTCAGAGGTTTTGAGGTTTTGGAGCTGCCCGGGGAGCCTTGCCCTACAAATCCTGCAATCTTGTGCAGGTCCCCCTGGCACGGGAAAGACCGCCACTGGTGCGCAGATCTTGCGCCAGTGGCTCAAGGACAGCGACGAGGAAGGCCAGGAGGGGAATGGCCTAGGCCCTGCACCCTCCGCCCGGCGACACTAGCACTCATACCGGGAGAACTTCTATGCCCTAAGCCTCGAACCCCACATAACAAACCCCCCCCCCCCCAAAAAAAAAAAAAAAAACGTCAGCCCTCTCTACTCCCAGTATAGCAACCCTCGGTCAACTCTGCAAAGCCTCTCCGCAACCCGAAGGCCCAACAGCTTTCGGGTAGCGCAATGCCCCCTTTATTCAGGACTCTTCTTCAACCAAACCAAGGATCCCGAGCTGCTAAGTACTGGCTCTCCGAAATACTTCAACACCCCTAGACTCTGACAAATATTCTGAACCCAAAACCCGAAACACACCGAAACACCCCGACACACCCCAAAACAGCCCAAACCACCCCAAAGCCTGAACCCCTAAATGCCTAAACCCCTAAACCCCTGAATCCATAAACCCAAAACCCCAAATCCTTAAAGCCTTTTCCTCCACCCCTGAAGAGGCAGACCCCTGTGATCCAAAAAGTAGAACCCCCAATCAGTACCCTATACAACTAGTGGGTCATTCTTAGGAACCCGTCAGGGGACCTACTCACCCTAAACCCTAAACCCTAAACCCTAAACCCTAAACCCTAAACCCTAAACCCTAAACCCTAAACCCTAAACCCTAGACCCTAGACCCTAGACCCTAAACCCCTGTGCTTCCACCCCTGAAGAGGCACCAAGGCGCTTGCGGCCGCGCCCTCGCGCGCGGCGGCGCGGCGCCTCGCCGAGGCGCTGCCGGCCGAGGCTGGCACTTGCGGTTTGGGGTTTAGGGTTTAGGGCTAGGGTTTAGGGTTTAGGGCTAGGGTTCATAGGGTTTGGGGTTTAGGGTTTGGCGTTCAGGGTTTAGGGCTAGTGTTTAGGGTTTAGGGTTGAGGATTAAGGGTTGAGGGTTTGGGATTTAGGGTTTGGAGTTTGGGGTCTTGGGGCTTGGGGTTTAGGGTCTTGGGTTTAGGGTTTAGGCTTAGGGGTTAGGTGTGAGGGGTGAGGGTTTAATTAATTAGGGATTCGGGTTTGGGTTTAGGGTTAGGGGTTTACGGGTTTAGCGTTTAGGAGAGGGGCATTGCCTACTGGGGTGACACAAGCAATCTACATGTCGCGGCTCAGTTTAAGAATGATCACACCTATCTGCCGTAGACAATAATCAATCAAAGCCAAGATCAAGTGGCAGAGATGAGCATGGTCTCGTGAGTCCTTATCCCTTCGGCCGAAACATTGCAAAAATGGGCCGAGCAGAAATGACCCCCCCCACCCCCAGGCAGGAGCACAAACATGCGGCTTCTAATGAAGGATTAGCTTCCTGGAGATGGACGCAGTCCAAGATGTCAGCCCCATGCAGCGCAAATTGTTGTCTAAAAGAAGAGAGGTTTGGCGGTTTCAGGTGAAGGAGTTAGGGTTTGGGGCCTCTGAGGATTTGGGGTGTAGGGTTTTGGGGCGTATAAGGGTTTGGGAGTATATACTGGCCAGTACATGGGGTTCAGGTTCTTAGGGTTCAGAGGGTGCTAGGGTTGATATCATAAGGTTTAGGGTTTTCGGGGTTCAATTTTCCAGCATTAATTGACTGTGAAGGGTTTGAGTGCATGTAGGGCCTGCACTGTAGGGTTTGGGTTGGGGAGGGGCTGGGGTGGGGGTGGGGGTGGGGGAGGGTCTGGGGGGATATCCTAAACCCTAAACCGCTCAAACCCTAAACCCTAAACCCTAAACCCTAAACCCTAAACCCTAAACCCTAAACCCTAAACCCTAAACCCTAAACCCTAAACCCTAAACCCTAAACCCTAAACCCTAAACCCTAAACCCTACAGGAGGCCTTTCTGCTTCAGTGGCGCGCTGAAGGCGAGCGATGACTTCAGTCTGTGGCGGGGTTTCTTGGGGAGGGTCCAGGGTTCAGGGTTCAGGGGGACCAGAGAGGGTCGTAGGCAATAACAAGACAGGTCCAGGAACGGATTCCATCTAGACATGCAGTACCCAAAGACTGCAAAGACGCAGACACGCCAGATGGCCTTTGGGCGGAGCACCGGCGCAACTTCCGCGGCACGCGAATCGCCGTCGCTACATGTGCTGGCGCAGGCGGAGCAGCTTCACCCTCAACCCGAAAACCTTACAGATCCTATAGGCCCTTCCTATACAGCTCCAGGAGCCATACAGCCTGAATCCTACACCCTAGATGGGCTTTATAAATCCCAAACCCTAAACCCTACACCCTAAATTGGCCCAAATAGGCTTCGGAAATCCAACCTCATCCTGGTTTTTTCGCAGGGCACGACCTCTTTGACGAAGGCATGTTCCGCTGGGTGCTCCTCGATGAGGCCCTGAAGGATATGCAAGGGGTCACGCTCTCTGATACGATTCCTTTATCTATACATACATGTATATGTATTTTCTTGTTGATGTATACATATATATATATACATATATAGATGTATCGAAAAAGTTCCCACCCGTCCAAAGACCCCAGGCCATTAAGAAAAATCAAGTTCACTCAGTTCGTAAACCTTGGGCTCCATACCAGGGCGCTAAACCCTAAGGCCTAAAGCATCCGCCTTGAGGTCTTTCGCTTTACCAATTCAGCAAAGCCAAAACTGGAGGGGTGGGAGCCCCCCCCCCCCCCCCCTCGAACGGACGGGGGGGTGGGTGCCTGTGCCCACAAGGAGCTTACTCCCAAGGCCATATCTACCCGAGATAGGGACGAAAGCAATCCGAAGAGGACCCGACACTTATAAACCCTGCAACATGGAGGTGCCTAAATGACACACGCTAAACCCTAAACCCTATTATAAACCCTATTAGAAATCCGATGATAAACCCTATTAAAAACTCATTATAAACCCTATTATCAACCCTATTATAAACCCTATTATAAACATTATACACCCTACACCCCCTGAACCCCCCTACGTTGTCCTTCAACACACTCCGTAGAGGCCACGCAGGCTACCGAGCCGGACTCGCTCATCCCGCTCTGCCGGTGCTTTGGGGTTTAGGGTAAAAAGGCAAAAAAGGGGTTTAGGGTTTAGGGTTTAGGGTTTAGGGTGAAAGGGTCCAGGGCTTTTGGGCGGAGGACAGCAGGGGGAGTGGGGGGGGGGGAGGTGGAAAGGGCTGAGAGTTCAGTTTCTTGGGCTGGAGCTTGGAGGATGCCTGCAGGCCCAGTGTTGTGAGAGAGTACATAGGGCGTTATCCTGTATGAGTTTGTGAGGTCCAGGCAGGGCTTTGCTAGGCTGAACTTCTCTAAGCCTTATAACCTTGTCTAGAGAAGCCTAAATTTCGACCACCTACTAAGCCCGAACCCCCGGAATCGTGGCTGACGCACCCAAAGCCTCCGCCCAAGAAAACACTGTACCAGCTACCAGGAGGCTACGTCGTGATCGTAGTTCTGGTGTCGTTGTTTTAAGTTTAGTGGGTTTTGCGTGTGTTGTGGGTTAAGAGGCGGCTGTAGTGGGGTGGGCTTGGGCTCAGGGTTTGGGGTGGGGGTACTTAAGGTGCGGCCAGAGCCTTCGACACGTCGTGCTGGTTGGAGACCCGCAGCAGTTACCGCCGACAGCACCTCGTGACGAAGGGAAGCTTTCTCACAGCTTGGTAGACCAGTGGTGCCCTGTTGTTCCCGTTTTTGTTCAGGGTTTGGTTTGAAAAGAAACAGTAATTAAAAAAAGCGTGCCCTGATTCTTGTAATGTAGGGTTACTGGGCTACTAAGACAGGGTTACTTAGGGTTTCGGGTTTAAGCCCCAGACTTTTTCATGTATTCTCGGACACTCCAACGTTTCGGCTCGGCCGGAGGTTTTCTCTTCATTTGCAGCTTACAAAGCCTTTTTCCTAAACTTGAGTTGGACCCCAAACCCTACTCCCACCTTCAAAGTTACTTTCAATACAGGAAACATCCCCCGAGGAAATGACCCAAGATGCCAACACCCTCAACCCCAAACCAGCAACCCCTCCCCCTTCCCCCAAACAAACGGCAACAACAGTTCCGAACCAAACAAACACATCCTCAACCCTCAACCCTGAACCGTAAACCCTAAACCCTAAACCCTAATCACTGCGGCCCGACCAGGTAGTTTCCGAGGCTGCGCGGAAATTGGGCCTCGCCACCTCGCTCTTCGAACGCCTGGCCGCAGAGGCGAGAGGATAGGGTTTAGGGTTTATATGGGGTTTAGGGTTTAAGGTTTATAGGGTTTATGCAGAGTTGGAAGATATCCTGTCGCAACTTGGAACCTCCGATACTGAAGCTCATGCCTGCTGAACAGCCTTGGGCCTCAAAGCCCGAAAACCCGACGAAAAAGCCACGGTCGGAGAGTGCAATATGTTAGGGCTTAGGTCTTCCCTAAACCGAACCCTGAACCCTAAACCCTAAACCCCGAACCCTCGCCCGCTCCGGATCAGCTTGTCGGAGCACCCTAAATCCAAAACCCTAAATCCTAAGCCCTAAATCCTAAACCCTAGTCGGCTGGACCTGAAGCAGGACGTGCCCGCGGAGCCGTCGCAACATCTCCACTCAGCCCTGAACCTCCAACTCCAAATTGCAAGCGCCATTGGCCCGACCGGTACACGTTGCGTCAAAATTCATGGCCAACGCAGTGCTCTCCCGCTGCTTTCATGAGGTGTACCTCATCCCAGAGCCCTACGCCCGAAACCCGAATAAAACCTATAAAGCCCTAAACCCCAAACACACGCAGAAACCCAGCAAAGCATGTGCCAAAGCCCTAAGTTCTTCCCCAGGTGGGTACAGGGGACGTCCTGTTCCTTGACACACAGCTCCTTGGATCAGAACTCAGCTGAAGAGCCTGGGCTTCGGTAAGGGACGCTGTCCAAAAAATGTGCACACGATGTTTCGGACTTCTAAGGAAACATGTTTATCCACACGTAGCATTTTCGTTGTGGGTCGAACAGCTGCCGCAGTGAAGTGCGCGCTTGGCAGTGTGCACGGAGCCTGGCCCTATAACCCAAAATGTGCTGACCTCGGGTCACGTACTACACTTCATGCCAAAGCCGTTCAGTTACCCTACAGCCCCGAAAACCTGCATGGGCCTCAGATGTTGGGTTTTTTTGGAGTTCAACAGACCGGACAGGGTTTAGGGCTTTGGCTGCCCCAGGATGCTATGTTCCTTCCAAAAAGCCGTTGGCACTTGGAGTGTGTCCCTAAACCCTAAAACATTAAAACCTAAACATTAAAACCTAAACTCTAGACCCTAAACCCGAAGCGGCAGGATGTGTTAACTGCTTGTTGCCGCTTGTTTTGGGGGGTCGTCGAGAGGAGCCTGAGGGTATTGTTCAGAGGGTAGAAAGCGCCAACCTGGCATCCCTTCAAACACAAAGCCGTGAAAAGCCTTGGGCCTAAGCTCCTTGTAAAAATCTTGGGTTTAGGGTTTAGGCTTCCTAGGGTTTACGGCTAAAGGAATCGGAGATGTGCTTCGAGATTTTGGGGAGTTGAGGGCCATTTGGGCAGGATTCTTTCGGATTTCGGGCTCAGGAAGGACTCGTAAAACCCTATGGTCTCCCCTAAGCCCGAGTCCCTAAACCCTAAACCCTAAACCCTAAACCCTAAACCCTAAACCCTAAACCCTAAACCCCAAACCCTAAACCCTAAACCGTTGTTGAGATTCCGGATGCTTCCGGCACTGGCGGCCTTCCCCGCGGCCTTCTTCTACGAAGGCCGGCTCCAGACGGGCGGCCTGGTGAAGGCCCAAGGGTTTAGGCCCTTAGGGGTTCGGGGTTCAAGGGTTCAGGGTTCAGGGTCTAGGGTCTAGGGTTTAGGGTTTAGGGTTTAGGGTTTAGGGCTTAGGGTTTAGGGTTTAGGGTTTAGCGTTGAACGTGTTTGGCGGGGTGGAGGGTTGAGGGTGTAAGGGCCGTCTCCACAAGGCATTGTAATATTGAAAGTTTCTACTAACAATTAGGCAGCTTGCTTTTCGTACAGGCAGCAAACAGGTGCAGGGTGTCGGGTTTGTATGAATTTAGGGTATATAGGTTTTCCCGGTTCCGAAACGAATGCTAGATCGAGAAGCCGAACCTAAATCCCTGAACAGCCCCTAGCACTGTTTTCTGGAAGTCTTCCCACCACCCTCTAGGCAGGTTCACACAGACAGAGGTGGAGGGGTGTGACGAGTGAGTGAATAGCGTGAACATCGTGAACATCGGTCTGCCCTTGATTGAGATCATGAACAGGGCAGGTACCTGGTCCCCGTAATATGGTCCCTTGCCTCCTTTAAAGGGTTCTGAAGTATGGGCCCTTGGGTTTTACAGGGCATACAAGGGGTATCTAAGGGGTCCCCATTTAAGGGCCCATAGTAAGGGACCATGGAACTACCCAAAGAGATCATGGACTCGCGGCTTACATTCCTAATTCTTGGGCTTGTGCGGTTTTCCCTTAGTTCCAGAGTTGGCCATTTTGGATCGAGGATGCAGCAAGGTTTACAAGGGCGGAGGTGCAGACCCAAATCGCTTTAGCAGAGAGTGTCTGACGGGTGATCTGGAGCTCACCGTTAATTAATGTCTCAAGATTGAGCGCTTCCTCACAGAACAACAGCAGTTAAAGTCACAAGGCTCTGGAATCTTTGGGTCTTCAGAAGTCACAAACAACCGCCGGGTTTCCTGGAGAATGAAAGCCCGAAGCCAGAAAACCCTAAAACTCTAGCAGCCCGAAACCCCCAAAGCCCCAAAGCCCTGAACCCTGAAACTTTGGAAGTCCTTAACCCCAAAAAACCCCAACAAAAACCCCTTGAGAGCAACCCTGAGAACAATCCAAAACTAAAGCCTACAGGCTAAGGGTTTAGGGTTTAGGGTTTAGGGTTTAGGGTTTAGGGTTTAGGGTTTAGGGAGGCATATAAACCCTAAATCCCTTGCTGGCAGCAGAGGAGCTCCAGCCCCTTCGCCGCCACGAGCCTCTCCAATTCATCAGCTGCCTGTCTTGAATCCCCACCGACCACAAGCTCGAACCACACATGGGCTTAAGGCTTCTCTTGGCACACTTTTACTTTTTTTGGGTTCAAGGTTCCCTGATAAGGCAACCAACCAACGGAAGGGCACCCTTATTGTAGTCTGGTCTACTGGGGTACCAAGTTATCTAATGCTTATAAAGGAATCGCTACTTCTCAGCTGGGTTTTGGATTTCGGCTAAAAGTTTTCCCTGGCCAGTCTAGACTCTCCTGAGAGGGCCTTAGAAGGGCCCCCCCTCTTAGGCGTCCGCGGCTGCGAACGCAGGGTCGGCACGTCCTACGAGAATCCTGGTGAGGCCCGACAACTTTTGCTTGGGGCTCGTGGGGAATACGAGGGACTCACGGACAACCGATGTGAACATGTTTTAAAGTCCCTTTGTGTACCGAAGCAACCTCTAAAATGGCCTGTTTATGTAGAGCTTTGCAGTGCTCAGGGCAGCTGGTTAAGCTGTTGGGCGAGCTTCCTAGCGGCTTTCGAATGGGAGATCGCTGGGTCGTAGTATGTGCGCGTTTAGCAAGGACTCTTGAGCTTGTGTGTTCAGAAGCTTCCAAGACCTCTGCGCGAAACCGTAGGTTTAGGACCCTAAACCCTAAACCCTAAACCCTAAACCCTAAACCCTAAACCCTAAACCCTAAACCCTAAACCCTAAAGGGGGGAGTTAGGGTTTAGGAGCCCGAGATCCTAAGCTTCCTTCCCAAACCGACCTGGGGCCTCTCTGTGTGTTTTTGGATCCTTGGAATGTAATCCCAGACCCGAATCCTGGAGCCCATGCAAGGCTTTTGATGTTGCGGGTCCCCTCAAAATCCTCCTCCCCCACGCGATCTTAAACCCTAAGGACTCCTACCCTAAACGGCCCTAAGCCCTACCCCCCACCCCCTACTCCCACCCCCCCTCAAGTACCCAAGGGCAGCACTTAGAGGGTTGTACATTCGGACCTGGGACAGCGCCCTCCCTAGTTTCACCTGTTCACCTGAACCATTGGATTCATTTCAAGGGCCTTTTAGGGTTGAGGAGTTTTAAAGGGGCTTCAAGAGTTTTAAGGGTTTTTTTGGGGTTTTGGTCTTAAAACACTCTGAGTAGATTCCGAAACCGCCGGCTTTTCGCATCCCCAGCCCTCTTCACGCTCTAGCTTGCCCGCGGGCTCCCGCGTGCGCCATGTTCGCTGCGTCCGCAGCGATCTGGCTGCGTGCGGGCCCCTGGGCGCAGCTCGGTGGCAGCTGCGGCTTAGGTTGGTTGGTTGGTTGGGGCTTCGGGTTTAGGTTTTAGGGTTTGGGGTTTGGGGTTTAGGGTTGAGGGTTTAGGGTTTAGGGTTTAGGAATTTGCGTCCCTAAGCCCTGTAAACCCCAAATGCATCCGTGGGGTTCATTGAGCTTGTGGGTTTCAGGTTTTCGTGTCTCAGAGTTTTAGAGGGTGTTGAGGCTATAGGGTTGTAGGCTTTGGAAGGAGCTTTCCCCTGGAATGCTTCGAGGCCACCCTCTAGCATTCAGGCATGCTTTCGGGTTCATGGCCTCCAACCAGGTGGTTGATGAGGTAAGGGTTTTAGGCGGTTCAGGGTTCGTTTAGGGTCCCCAAACCCTAAACCCTAAACCCGTACCCGACGTGGATGCTGTTTTGCTGTTGGACATGGCCATGGCAGTATTGCCGCAAGCTGGGCCGTGCTCATCACACGACAGCCGTTACAACAAACATGACAGCGCACCACCCAAAAGATGGTTCTAAGGGCCTTAAGGGCTCCAAGAGCTGTAAGGGTTCTGCGTCAAACCACAAACCTTAAACCCTAAACTCAAATATTGCGAACTTCTTGACAAACGGTAGACATTCAGGTTTAGTTTGTTCTGAGCAAGTCAGCACTTCTGAAATGGAAATTAAGCCTTTGGTTGCAATGTTGGGATAGTTGCTCCTCTGTAACATCCTTCTGTAGATTTATGCTAAACCTGGGCTACGTAGCTCACAGCGAGTTAGAGAAGCTTGAATGTTAAATGCTGAGTCCCACTGGAATATCGTGGCTTGGCAAACAAAGTGAAATGCGGTTTTGAGCAATAGTCTTGCTTGCTACACCCTAAACCCTAACCCTTAAGCCTTGAAGTGAGATTCGGTATTGAGTGCCTCGAGTTGTTCCATTTAGTCTTGCCATTTCCCGTCGGGAGCATCCCTGTATTTCAGTTCGGCCTGCCGTCACCGTCTGCCATCACAGCCCGCCATAGCGGTCTGCCATTTAAAGCCCCGCCATCGCATTGCGCCATCGCATCCTGCCATCCAAGCCCAACACCCTCGAGGTTACGAACCAGCCTGAAACAGGCGAGACTTAACAACAGAGCCGGTGGAAATCCTCCGAGGTCTTTGAAGGTTTGTGAGGCAAGGTGCCAAGAAGTCGGTATGAGGACTGGGAGCTTGATGTGCTTGAAAGACCGTAGGGTAGCGCGAAGTGGGAAGAGGAGTAGGGCAGCTGTGGCTGTAGTAGGCTAGTGTAGCCCGAAGTATTTGCGGTGCATACAGCCCTACTTGGAGGTTCATGCAACTATTCCCTAGCAAGAATGAAACAGTGGTGGGGGGGGGGGGGGGGGGGCGGGGTCACGTGCGGGCCCCAAAATCGAAACTCCAAATTGCCCTGACCCTAAAGCGCTGGAACCTGTCGAGGGGTGCTGTGCGCAACCCGCTACCCCAACTCATCCTTCCCTCTCACAATGCACCCCTGCCCACCCCCGAATATCAACCACCTTACCCTAAATCGAAAAACCCTAGACCCTAACCCCTAAACCCTGAACCCTAATAATGATTAATATGCAAGAATAAGCATGTTTAGAGCTGAGGTGGAGAGACGACTTGTTTCTTAACAGCTTTAGACCTGGGTTTAGCATAGGTGATCCAAGGCTTCAAGGAAGCCGGTTCAGGGATCTAGTGGGGTTCGGGGTTTAGGGTTTAGGGTTTAGGGCTTGGGGGACAGGTATCTTTTGCTGCGCGCTGTTGGACATTCAGCGGAGCCACTACAAACAGCGCTTGCGGCATGGCTTTGAGCCAAAATCCCCCCAAATTAGCCCCTAAACCCCTAAACCCTCAACATCAATCCTCGTTCTGGTGTACATCTGGAGGGGGAGGGGGGGTTGACTAGGGTCGCAGGCAATTACTACATAGACCACCTCCCTCTGACGAACTCCGAACTGTGTAGGGGCCTTAGCCACTCGCGCCAAGACCAGGGAGCCTGAGTATGTTTCCCCCAAGACCAGAACTTGTGCAACAGAAGCAATTCATTGCATGGCCTTCTTATCCTAAGCCCCTAAAAGACCCCTCAACCTCTGAGCCCCTAGAAGCCCCTCAACCCCTAAACCTGTAGGGTTTAGGGTTTGGGGTTTAGGGTTAGGGTTTGGGGTTGAATGCCCTAAAACCTGAGGATGCGGATGACGACTGTCGCTCTGGCGACTGCGCCTTCAGTGCGCTACAGCAGCGCGCCACCCTAGCAGGAGCCTGGGGCCAACTCTTCCAGGGATCATGTGGGGGGTATTAGAGTTTAGGGTTTAGGGTTAGGGTTTAGGGTTTAGGGCTTGTACCTCTGAACCTGCAACCCAAGCTTTTTCGAAGGAACAGGGCGACTGCGCCCTTGTACGAACCTTCCACCCCCCCCCCCCCCCGCCCCTCAAAAAGGAAGGCTGCTTGTTGGCAAAAATATGGTCCCTGTTTGGATCCCTGTTATAAAATTTTGACATCCGCCCAGATGAACCCTTTGGACTTACCAGAGTCTTGCATGTGTGGGTGCGGTTGAGGGTTTCTGGTTGAGGTGTTGGGGTGCTGATTTGGGATCTCACCCCAAAACAAGCTCTTAACAGCAACAGCTGTTTTGGAAACTTCAAACTTCATCGTGGTACCGTTTGTGTGCTATAAACCCTGAACCCTATAAGTGCCTAAACCCGCCGACATGCCAAAGGCAGAGACAGCTGCGGGTTCAGTTTCTCGGACTGTTTCGACTCGGACTATACCCGCAGCAGCACGCCAGCACCCATGGACCCCCCCCCCCAGAAGTACTTGTCAAACCTGCCTATACTGGCTCCCTCATAAAGGGTTTAAAAGTTATTGTGTTCAGGGACCCAGAGTACTTTTCCTGACAGGGTAATGCGCAGGCACGTTCTTCTAGGTTCATTTGGAGGTTCAAACATGGCTCATAGGACGTTGGATCTTGTTTGTTGTTGGCTGTTGTTCTCGTGTGGTTGGAGGACGAGTGAAAATTTATCCCAGGCGAACACTACAAACCCCAAATTTTAAACCCTAAACCCGAAGGGTGATGACTTCAGGGCGAGCCACTTTGGGCTTGGGAGGGAGGCATACCCAGTCTGAGGTCCCCTTTTGTTTTCACCTCCTTGCTTTTTCTAGGGTTAGGGTTGAGGCTTAAGGGTTCAGGGTTGAGGGTTAGCGTTTGTTTTTTCTCACATCCTTGTTTTTTGGGTTTGAGGCTCACCCCGCACCCTCAACCTAGGCCTTCCTACCTAGAAGTTCATGGGTACTTGTAACCCCGATTAGTATAGCTGCACTTGTAAGGCCCTAAGTCCCGTAAGTAGGTTATCAGTACACTCGTATTATAACTGAGGTCAGAAAGAAGTATTCCTGATTCTCTTCAGTTGAGTATTTCGATTATATTGAGAACTGAATATCTCCCCCTTCCCCCCCCCCTCCCCCCCCCCCCCCCCTCCCCCCCCCCTCCCCCCTCCCCCCCCCCCCCTCCCGCCCCCCTCCCCCCCCCCTCCCCCCCCCCCCCCCTCCCCCCCCCAACACACCCCACACACACACACTGAACACCCTAAACTTGCCCTAAGCCCTCGACCCTCAACCCTCAACCCTCAACCCTAAACCCTAAATCCCAAACCCAAACCTCCTAAACCCTAAACCCCCTAAAACCCCGAAAGATCCATCCGAGGCGAGTCCCTGGTGCCCCTGACGAGTCTGTCCCACTCCCTCTACGAGGACCTCTTGCTGCCTGCCCCGGCGTTCCTCGGCCCCTGTTTTATTGTTATTTATTGTTGCTTTAGTTTTTTTATTGTTACTATTCCTATTCGCATTATTATTACTATTCTTATTCTTCTTAGTTTTTTTGGTGTTTTTATTTTGTCTTTATGATTTTTCAAAAACGTGGTCTTTTGTTAGGCTTTGGGGTATTTAGGGTTGAAAGTTTTGTTGGGGTTTTAGAGGGCTGTTGCAGTTGTTGTTTGTTCTTGTTTTGGTTTGTTTTTTGGCGTCTTTAGGGTTTTGGGTTTTTTTTGAGGGGGTCGTCTTTGAGCGTTTCCCCAGACCGCTGCGGGCTCCATTCCC